TTGTAACTATTTTTATTTTTTAGATCAATTAAGAAGAATTTATTTTATTTTTTAAGTCAGCAAAGAATGCTTTTTCTATCAGAGCCCTTAATATATTGATCATAGTTATATTAATTTTTGGCTGATAATTCCACCTCTAGTATCTGAGCCTGATTATGATGATTGCTTTTTCTTTTCAGACTGTATGTTTTCTTGCCTTTTGGTGTGTCTTATAATTTCATTTTTTTAATCCTCACCTGAGGATATTTTTTCCATTGCTTTTCAAAGAGAGTGGAAGGGAGAGAGAGAGAGATGAATGTGAGAGAGACACATAGATTGGTTGCCTCCCACATGCACCCCACCCAGGGCCAGGGATCAAGCCTGCAACTGAGGCAAGTGCCCATGTCCGGAACCGAACCCAGGACCCTTTAGTCCGTTGGCCGACACTCTAACCACCGAGCAAACCAGCTAGACCATCTTGTAAATTTTTTTGATGAAAGCTAGACATGTTATTCAGGTATTAGAAACTGGAGTAAATAGGGCTTTATTGTGATAATTTCTATTAAATCGCTAGGAGTCATGCTGGGTTTATGTTTGCTATAGTTGTAGGTGCCAGAATCTTCAGATTCTTCTGCTGTCCTTGTTTTGATCTCCCCTCCTGATTCTGAGCTTCCCTAAATACCCCTCATTAGAGAAAGTCTGTGTCTGGCAATTCGTTCAGCTGTGATCACTCTTATACCGAAGTCCTGCTACAGTGGGAGGGGGAAACAGCCTATAGGCTGATTAAATCTCAGTTTTTTAGTAAGCCTGTGTCTTGGGGCTGAGCTGTGATCTTCCCAGCTCTCTACTCCCTTGTCTGGCTGTAGGGATCCCCATCTGTTTCCTTGAAGCCCTGTTGACTATGTTTCCTTCCTGTTAGATGAGACAGGTGGGACAAGGAGACTAGAGGGGCTGAGTGGGAGAAATAACCTTCCTCCAGCTAGAATAAAGCTCTGGTAAAGTCTTCTCCCCTGGAGATTAGACTTTTGTTGTGGAGAAAGCTCTGGGTGTATTATTTTATCATTCTTACCTACCTCCTCCCCTTGCTAGAGTCACGAGGCGATGAATCTTCCTGGAAGAAAAATCCATTGGGGTTCTTGGAAGTAAAGGCCACCAAAACAGGGTGGAGGCAAAAGATAGGAGTTTCTCACTCTGACACCAGTTCACAGCCTCCAGCAATTCATCACAATTTCCATATAAGTGTTGCTGCAAGTTTATGGCTCCAGCATCTTTTGATCCAGGTAAGTAGATCTTGACTGTGATTCATGAAATGTGCCTGTTTCTCCATATTTTGGAGTGGCAATTAACCCTGTGATCTCAGTTTTCTGAAGGGTCCAAGAGAAGTCATTGAATGTTAGTGTTCCCAGCATTTCTTAAGGATAGTGTTTAGCAAATGTAGGTTTACAGTTCTCAGTACACAAAATAGTTTATTCTTGTATTATTATTTATTAGCTATTGTATTATTTTCCATATGTACAACTCTAAACCTACTTTTGCTGCACCCTGTATTTGGAATGATGACTTCCAAGCTCCTTATATATCAGAGCTAAAATCAGAAATCCATTTGACTTGAAATATATTTAATACTTTTTCATAGCCTAAATAATTTTTTGCTTATTTATAACAGTATATTTAAAAATCTTTAAAATAAGAATAAACTTTAAAAAATATATATTTGGTACCATTTTGGGGTGATGGATATCAATTCATACCACTGAGGTTTGTTGTTTTTGCATTTCCCACTATTTCTATTAGGTAGATATTACTTCTGTGACCTTGGGAAAGTTACTTATCCTCTTTGTGCCCCAGTTTTCTCATTTAATGTACAGAATGAATAGTACTTGTCTTTTAGATTATTATGGAGATTAAATGAGATTATATATATGAAGACTTAGTACAGTAAATATCTGGTACCAAGAAAAGGTTCTCAATATTGTTAAGTTTTTCTTAATACCTTTGTTGTCAATCTCATTCTCCAAATAGAAAAAAAAATGAAGTATAAAATATTTTAACTGTAATTCTCACTTGTGGATTTTTTTTGTTTTAGAATTTTTTGCACTTTGACCTGCAGCTGGTGATAGAGATGTGGGAGCTGCGGACTTAACCACACTGGATCTGGGCCAGATGAAGTGCCATCATCCTAATTGTGTGCTGGGGCCATAGTTCACTGAATTAGTTCCTTTGAACTCTCCTGTCCCTTCCTGATGCTGGCAGCATTAACACCGAATAGACAAGAGCTTCATATCAATACAACATGAAAACGGCTCTGGAGAAAGGCACTAAGCATTCTTCTTTGCTAGTCTCTTACAAAATCTTGAAACTAAAAAAAGAAGCTTTTAAATCTTAAATTATAACATAAATACTTTATTTTAAAAGATTTCAACTGGTTTATTTTCACTTCCTTTCCTAGGAAGTCATCCTCTCTAGATTTTGCTAGTATCGTATTGTACTGAGGTACTGGTGATGAAGGGAAGATGGAGTGAGCTATTTCTTTTTTTTATGTGTTCTTTTAAAAATTTATTTTATCGAGAGAGAGAAAAAAATAACATCAGTCAGTTGCCTCTCACCGCCTCTCCCCCAACCGGAGATAGAGCCTGCAACCTGGGCATGTGCCCTGATCAGGACTTGAATGAGTGACCACCTGGTGCAGAGGACAGAACTCAACCAGCTGAGCCACACTGGCCAGGATGTAGGGTAAGCAATTGCAAAAAGGATCTTGCATGACTCAGAGCTGCTTAATTGTAGGCTCATTTCTAAAACTCCTTTTATAGCAGGGCCAAGGCTGAAAATTCTGACCATGCCACAGGGTAGCATTGCCCCTGGAACACAGTGGCATCGAATGGTGAACACCAGTGCAAACCACAAAGCAGGGCCTAGACATTTTGTCTAAAAGCGTGAGGTGCATGTAAAACAAGGCATTTCTACAAAGCTTACAGAGACCCATCATGTCCTCCATGTTGACCTATGTGGGCCATGTAGAGGAGCTCAGTAAGCCAAGTACTAAGCCAAGTGGTCATCAACTTTTGATCTAGGAGCTTGTCAATCCCAAGAGATATTCTGGGTGGTTGAAACAGAATTAAGTTTGAATTCCCTAAACCCATATTTGTCTGGGCTACCACACAAAGAGTGGACCAACCAGAATGGCCCAGGATTGCCGTTAGGGAAAGAAAGCCTTGACAAGCCCTGTAATGGTCAGAGTTGCACGGTCTGCACGCAGTGGGTTTGCATAGCAGATAAGGAACACTGAGCGTGGAGAACCCACTGCTTTTATAACAAGCAATAAAAACCTACTCTTTGTTTTGGATGGAGACATCATCTCCTCCCTTCCAGTCTGCTCATAACCCTGAGAAATGGTCTGCGTAGAGTGGTCAGGGAATTGCATTCTTGGCCTACCCCACATGACATGGAGGAACATGGGAGACTGGGGAGGGGTGTCTCTCTCAACAGAAATACAAGAAACAATCCTCTGAAACTCATTACTGTCTTGACCAATAGGAAGTATGTCTTAACGCTGCTCAATGTTCTTGAGAAGAAATCCCCTCAGGAAAGTTTTCTATTGGCCTTGATGTGAGGAATAATTGGTCTTCTCTCTAACCATTGTAAGTATGAAAAGGGACCCTTTTCTTTCTTTCTTGACTGCTGAAGAGGTTGAAATTAAATATGCACAGTCTCTGGCACAAGGAGGTCTTCAATAAATAATGTTAATGATGGACACAGAATTGTAAAGTGGGATGTGCATCGGGTAGCCAACTCACTCCTGGTTCCATTTTATTCCCCTGCTCTTTTATACCTTTATCTCATTTTCTTTCTTTCATTTAAAAGTGTATCAAAGATCCATGCCTTTTATTTTTAATAAGCTGGAATTCAAATCCAAGTCTTCTGATGCCAGTGCTCTATATAGTGTCTAGTCCTACTCTCTTTGAAGTTGGAGAACAGCTGTTCCATATTTTTACCTTTAAAAATTTGTGAGGAAAGTTATTAAATCACCCATCACCTGTCTCCTCCTCTGTCACTACCCTGTTGGTTCTGTTTTCAATGGTTTAGTTAGTTTTGTCATCTTTCTCTGTACTCCAGACTCTCTTATGTTTTGTACACATGGACCCAGACCCTCTGATGTCAATCTGAAGATTTCTTCTCATCTTTGTTTCAAGCCATTTTCAACATTCTCAGACCTTTTAGCTATGTATATTACTGGGTAACTATCTCAAAGCTATTTTTTTTTCTACAGACAATACTACAGCCATTTATGTCCATTGAACTTCATTCTGTTTTGGACAAATCATCTTACTATTTCTTTCATTTCTTTTTAGACAAGAAAATTTATGAGGCTTTCTAGTTGTAATTTTCTGCAGTGTGAAGGCAGAAGCAGCCTATTGTAAGCCCCAGCTATGCCCAGATAAACACTCAGCACTCATAAGCTACCGACAGGAATCAACATTTGTATTGTATAAATGTTTTGTCATGTACTTGATCATGCAACAAAAATTAAAAGTAGCTGAAAAATTAATGGGCATACTGCACAAAGGGTTAGTTAACATAACTGGAAGTGGTAAGACCAAATCTGACCAGTGGGGTAGTGATCCAGTTGATTACTCTGTCCTGGGGCAAAGTTACCTGAAAAGCAGTGATTTTGAGCATGTAAAATAATTTAGTTTAGGATGCCATAATTTAACTTATTCTTTTTGAAAATCAGCATATGAATTGAATTCTAAATTTAAGGTCATCATACCAATGAGAAGATATGGGGGGTAGAAATCCCAGATATCTAGAGACTGAACTTTTATTTACTGTCTTCATTTAATTTACTGGGATTCAAATAAGTACATTTTTAAGTGAGTTTTTAAAATCACCTTCTTTGTGCTATTTTTGACCTTTTATTTTGTTCATCCTTTCCTTGCCTGCCATATTTCACATATTATACGATGCCATTGGTAAGACAGTACCAAAAATCTGGAAGAAGTAACAGAAACAGGAGTCCATCATGAGTTCATAGACACAAACATCTGAACTTTACTGGGACTCAAGCTCAAAATATTGTTGCTTTGCTTGGCAATGAGTTCCCATACCAATTCTAAATCAGCAAAATATATCAGTCATCACCCTTTTCCTTATAAATAAAATCAATGTATCTCATTGCCTGCAAACCTTTATATGTACATTTACGATACAAATTTTGTAGCAATAGAGAACACAGAATATTTTGTGAAAGCTAAGCCTGAAAGAAATCCACATATAAAAATGATTTTCTCATGTTTACATCTCCCCACATTGTATACTCATTATTTAAAATTAAAGGACAGAAGTCAAATTGAAAAACAGTAAATTAAGAGACAAGATGTGGGGACTACAAGTTGTTTCACTTGAATAGAAACAAGCTTGTTCTCTCTGGTTTTTCTCCCAGGAAAGGAAAATTTAACAATCAGAATAATAAACACACTTAACTAATAAGAGCCATGCAGCTGTGGTTTGGGTTGTGTAATGTAAAGGCTTTATATGTTATTTCCCTTTTCAAAACTGTGGCTGAAACTGTAAAAGTTCATCAATATTTACCAACATGAGAAAGTTTAAAAAATTAGAACTTACTTTTAAATGTGCATGCTGCCTCACATTGCAGTCACCAGACCGGTGTTGGCAGTTTTACCAACTGTTTTTTAACCAGTTCAGTTCGGTCTGGTTCTCGGTTGTTAATACAGTACTACCAATCCTTAATTCGTACAACCACAGGGGAATGCTTAAATAAAAGAACACTCCATTTCATAGTAGTTTTTAAATGAAAACATATGTATCCGTAATAGGGCTTTAAAAGTTTTTTTCAGTAACAACTTAATGTGTGGCATCTGTTAGGTACAGGGTGTCTTTTTCAGTTTTCCGAAGAGGCACATTGGGCCCAGTCAAATTCATAGTGTAGACGTCGCTTTCTTGGGAGTTACCAGGATTCAGAGCACCTAAGGAAGGGAGATTGTTGTCAGTTTTCCTTCCATAGATAATCCTGTATACTGTATTTAGGGGGAAAAGAGAAAGAAATCTCAAAATGCTTTCTCAAAACTGGATTTGGAGCAGCTCACTCCTAAAATTTGATGTGCATATTGTGTTTGGTGAGACAGGTAAAAACAGATGTGGGATAAACCACTCATATACTTGGGATTCTTATCAAATATTTTAAGGTTCCTTTGAGCAGTATCACTGCTTGAGTCCATAATTATCAACCTTAAATCACCAGTTTATAGTACACTCTTGTTAATAGAGGGTCGACAAATTACCCTAATTTTAAAAAAAAAAGGATAATTCATAACCGTTAAGATGGCATATTTGGTCTCTCACATTGCCTAAATCTCCTTCCACTTCTCAGCTGACAGATATTCCTGTTTATTAGTATCCCTACCTACCTTCTTTAGGATTCTTAAGTACCCTGTCTCTCCTATTTTTAACACGTATGGCCAAATAAATTCAAAACGAACTTTGTGTAAATCAGCTAGGGTCAAGAATTATATACCCCTAATATTTACTAGCATTCCCTCAATATCTACAAATATGTTGTGGGGATTGAGGTGGCCTCAAATATTCTAAGAGAATCTTGAATACCTTAGGCAGGTATGAAGCCCTCTCCCATCAACATTTCTAGTTGTCTCAGGATGCAGCTAGACTATGGGGCTGCAGATTGATACATCTCAGTTGATACGACTTTATTTTCCCCCCTATATTTTGAGAGCTACATATAATATATATCTGTCCATAAATACACATATATACACCTGAATGTATATATACGGAAATGTAGCATAGCAAAGTGATTAAGAGTTTTGAAGCAAGATTACTTTGGTTTGAGTCCAAGCTTCATCACCTGCTACCTGTATAATCTTGGACAAGTTATATAACCTCTCAGTGCCTCAGTTTCCTTATTGTAAAATAATATAAGAAAATTATGTACCTTATGGGGTGGTTTTGAGAATTAAATAAGTTTATATACATAAAGCACTTATAACATGTCTGTTAAAGTTACAGAGATTCAAAAGCTTTAGTCTTTATATATATCATATGGATATATACAGGGTGAAGCAAAAGTAGGTTTACCATTGTTTATATGGAAAAATAATACAATTATTTATAACTAATAATACAAAATAAACTGTTTTGCATACTCACAAATGTAAACCTAATTTTGCCCCACCCTGCGCATAGGCATATGTACTTATAATTGCTTAAACTAAAAAATAAGACAATTTCATATATATTGCTCAATACCTTTTATATTTAATATGTAGTATGTATGTATGCTCATATATGATGCATACAGATTTTCTTGGAAATTTCAGTTATCTACTGACAAATGTGAATAAAATTACCAACAAAGCTCATGATTGGACTTTACAGAGTATAAATTTGGTGTTTTAAATCTACTCATTTAGTAAAATAATATTTCTCGCTGTGAAGTTCCCAATATAAAGTGTAAGTGGCGTCAAGATGAAGAAAGGAGCACAGGCTTAGAGCTGGAACAGCTTGGGCTCTCATGCTTTAACCTTTCTGAGCTTTAGTCCTCTTATTTGCAAAAGAGGGATGTAACATTCTTGCAAGTTTATGGTAAGAAGTAGAGACCACATACATAACAAAAGCCCTTGGCCAAGAGCCTGGCACATAGTAAATGCTTGATAAATGGAAACACTGATCTTTAATATGTCAGTCCCACTTCGAATGTGGGTATTTTTTTTTTAAAGCCCAACACAAACAAACATCCCACTGGAAGTTTTTGATCAGCTACGCTGTTGCTATATAATGATCATGGGTTAGTCTTAGGGGCATGTGGTTTCAATAACCATAATGGCTTGAAGTTTCACTGCCGTAGAAGCAAAAGGGAAGAGGTTGGTGTAATTCAAGTTTTACCAATATCTCACCAGGCAGCTTGCAGCTTTGCCCTCTCTCTTGCTCTGCCAGGCTGCCCCTCTCCTGCCAGTAGAAAGCCTGCTCGCCCCCAAAACTATTACACTGAAGAAGCTGTAGATGCTCAAACCCTCAGGAGGTGGCACCTCTCTGCTTGGTGAGGTTAGGCCATGCAGGCACCTTTGTGACCCACTGGCCAGAGAGACCCAGGGAAAAGGACTCCCTCTGTCCCTTTATTTTCACTGAATGTGGTCTGAGAAAAATGAATTAAAATCTAGGGGAAATTCATCGTAAAAGACGATCTCTTTACAAATGTTATATATATTTTGATGTGCTTGGTAGGGAGGGGACTTTTTTTTTTTTTTTTTTTTTTG